AAAACTGAGACTCAAAGAAGTTGAGTAATTTGTTTAGACCTCTGTACTTGGTCACTATCTTCTGAATATATTCAAATTAATAATAATCCTTCTTAAAATGTCAACTCTTGCCTTATTAAGCTAGTGGAGATGGGCAGAAGTTTAAGCAAATAAATGTAGATAATCACAATTTATTCTACACTTAATTTTAAAGAGTATGTTTGCTCTTCCATTTGATTATTGAAGCATCTGATGTTTGGGTAATTCTTACTCATTTGCACTAATTGACGCCCCCAACATGGGACAAGGGGACACTGGACAGTTATCTAATCGTGCTGATCTACTTCTTTTCTCTTTTCCTGCTTCATCCCACCATGAGGGAGCAGTCACCCCTCAGACTGATTCCTAGACTGACTTCAATACTGCAACCCTCCTTCCATCTCCCTGGAGGCAAGCTGTGCAGTTCAGATTGATGGTCGCAGATCTTTTACGTTGGATTGGGACAACACAGACTGCATTTCTTAATCTGAAAAGTGAGCATAATAACAGTGTCCACTTTTGGGGGTAACCACCTATGGGGGAGATTACTTTTTTTTTTTTTTCTTAATCAACAGTTAACCCATTCTGTCAAGTGCTTTTCTATGGGTGTTATGCATATTGTGTCAATCGCTCCTCCCAGAGACTGCACTATGGAAGGAAGGGAGAGAGGGAGGGAGAGAAAGAGGAGAAAAGTGGGAGGGAAGGACAAGGAAGAACAAAATCAAAGTTGTAGAGGTACTAGAAGACTAGGAGGCTTGGTTTAGCGATTATTAAGCTGAGATGAAGAAACACTTTCGAAGGAAAATTAATGGAGAGTATAATGGAACTGGAACCAGAGTATTGGTTACACATCATAAAAATACTCAGTTATATATAGCAATGAAAATAAGAACCACAGAGCTTTCTAGGTCAATGTGACTGGAGTTTATCCAGCACAAATGAGGTAGGAAGACTATTTTCTTGTGATTGGAATTTAAAAAATAAAAACTCTTCAAGATTTATTTCTTCTACTTTCTACACACAAAATGTTGCAGCAGTTTGCTCAAGAAGTATTGCTCATCTTGTTCCAGGAGCCAAAGACACGAGTCTATTTGGAATGATGATTTGCATAAACAGACAGGCATCATGACTCTTTAAACTAGATCATTCATGTTGAGTGAAATAAACTCGTCTTTACTAGGAGATGTCACGTTGTGATTTATTTCCCAATTTCCTCTGCTGTCAGCGAGCTGTAATGATCACAGCACATTGCACACACGTCCTGCATACCCATGGGTCTAAGGAATGCAGTGACTCTGATGTGGAGAAGGACATAGCATGACCAGTCCAGGATGGCCCAGGCAAACAGCAAAGACATGTTCCTGGCTTCTCCAGGATCTCCAAACCTTGTTTCAATTCTTGTGCCACAATGAAAAAATGTAAAATCAGACACAAAAAGTCCAGCCAGGAATTTCATTACAAGTGAGAGTAAAGCAAGGCTCAAGCAAAGAACATTCGAAAGAGGAAGAGTGGGTTGACTCCAAGCAGAGAATGAGAACAGAAGCAATTCTGCTTCCAAATGTATTGCTGTTTGATGTTTGCCAGGAGAACTGGGGTCTACCTGCTACAGCCTTCACCAAATAGATATTTAATGCCTCCTTAAACTTGGGGGGAGGGGGGGTTGACCTTAGTAGGTCTTTTCCAGAACAGTTGTGGTGACCTCCACTCAGGGAGTCTCCATCCTCAAGTCAATTCTATGTTCATGAGGATGCTGATGTCAATGACGAGACAAACTTCACCTTAGGGTGCCTGCACTATTAATGAAATTTCCCTTCTAGAATACGTTAAGAAACCTATGGGAGACTAGGGTTGTAGCTCAGTGGTAGAACACTTGCCTAGCATGTTTGAGGTCCTGGGTTCGATCCCCAGCACCACATAAAATTAAATAAACAAAATAAAGGTGTTGTGTCCATTTAAACTAAAAATATTTGTTTTAAAAAAGAAACCTATGGTCATAAATCCTAATTTTACAATGACCTCAGTAGACACTATCAGGAGTTAGCCACACTGATCTTCTCTTCTTGACAGATTTCTTAATATTTCCCCTTTTCCCCCCCATGTTTATTCTCAGGATTGATACACCTATCACTTTTCTACAAGAGACTCAATTATTTATTAGCCTTAAAAGCAATTTTAAGAAAACCTGTGACCCTGCTATGTTATTGGTTTGCATCTGCTCATTACTCTAACACCCTTCTTAGTGATCCTGCTGAGGCCAGGAGATGTGGTCCTTGCATGTAGAACAATCACACTTTTGGAAAGGTTTGCTCTCAGACTCATTTGGTTATTCAACAAATATTTGCTGGGTATCGAATGAGTGTCAGAAATTGTGCTGAAAGCTAGAACTTAGAGATGGAAGCAAATAACAAAAGAGGTCCTCCTCTGCCCTCTAGTAGCACTTACTCTAGAATTGAAGCAGTCTAGAACTTAGGCTGGGTACAAAACTCTGGCTTACCTCAGTGATACAATCTCACTAGAATTCAATTTCCTTATCAGCGATATATGATGATATCAAGTCTTTTCCAAAGGCTGCTTTGAGCAGCCTTGTTAATAGAGTTAACAATCTCCAAGTGTGTAGGTAGTGTTGAGCACACAGTGAATAAAAAGAACTTAGGATTGGTACCCATAGAAGGACAGCTTTAATGTTTGTTCACTTATGAATGAGGAACAGAATAATTTGGTCCTACAGAAATTAAGGTTCACAGAAACAAATCCAAGGTCCTGCCCTAGTCCCGTTTTGCTACTATAACCCAACACTGGGTTGTTTGTAAGAAACAGAAATTCATTTCTCATGGTCCTGGAGGCTGGAAAGGCAGAAGCAGTTTCTATGTCTGGTGAGAATACAGCCTCTGCTTCCAGCATAGAACACTGTCCGTTAGCCAGGAGGAAAACTATGTCCTTCCATGGTGGAAGAGCCAGAAGGGGTGAACAAGGGCAGTTCCTTCTGTCAGACTTTTCCCAGGATGCCCACTATGCCCTCATGTCTTAATCACCTCCTGAAGACCACTCCTCTTAATACTGTTGCGTTAGGGATTAAGAGTCAATATAAACTTTGGAGGAGACAAATGTACAGCAGTTCCTTTGACAATTAGAGAGGTAAGCCTGAGGCTGGGAGTTTAAGAGTGAGTAAGTTTGAGGGTGAGGAGAGACGCCAGAGCCAACATGGCAGATCCCTGAACTGTAATTGCTCTTCAGAACTTTATAGAGTCCTGGATTGACTCAGAGACTGATATCCTTTGTACTGAGCCTGATCACATGCCACTGTCAACTTAGAAACTAATCTTTCTACCTGAAATACCTCCTTGTTTTAACTTCCTGCCAGAAGCCAGATCCTTTTAAGCCTCAATAAACTTCTTGCTGTCAAAATGCACAAGTTCAAGCACAGGAACATTTGCTAAAATCTCCTGCCACTCTTGGCATTTCATCTTCTCCATGAGTAATCAGATGTCAGTGCTCCAACGTCTCAGAGGAACATTCAAAGATGATTATCCACACTGTCATCTTCATATGGAAATGGAGGAGGAGTACAGCTCTCAAAGGTGGAATCATCTGCCCAGTGCCACACTGTAACAAACATGTATGTAGACTTAATCACCTTTTCAATGCCACAGCTCATAATCTTTATCACTACTGTCCTGCTTTAAAAAATAAATGGGGGAATGAGAGCAACTAGACTTTTGTGTTTAGAAACAGTAGAGGCCACCTAAGTTAATAGTTTCAGCACTTTTGGGGTCTTGTTGGAACTCCAAATATTTCTCTCACTATGGGGTCATGTCACTTGATGTCCCACCACTCCAATTATTTTAGCTTGACATTTAAGGCTCCATTACCCATAATCTGTTCTCTGATGCTACTGTTCAAAAATTCTTCCATGCAGTTCTTTCATTGCCAGACTGAACAGTGTCCCTGGTCCCTTCTTTCCTCCATCACATTTGACTTTCCTGCTTCTCTGCCCATATTCATACTTTTGTCTCCATTTGAAAAAACCTTTAAAAGGACCAATGATAAATTCTTAACAGGTATCTGCTGAAATAATACATTTATTTGCACTCAGCATTGGTCTATGAATCTCTTTTTAAAATGTAAATAGTCATATTAAGATAAGAAGCATGCACTCCGTTTGTTTACTGTAACTGGAATGGAAGGTGGTTTTACCTTTTACATATTGCACTTTTTTTTTCTCCAAATGAGATAATAGAAAAAGTTGAAGGGGGTAATGGATGGTGTTTTTACAAAAAACTGTTAGCAGGAAATTGGTGTTGGGCAGAGACTTTAAAGAGGTGAAATATAACAATGACAACTAGCCTTTATACTGAGCCTGTTGTTTTTAAGAAGTATCTTTCATTCAAAGAAATTATCTCATAAAAGATTCACCATGATCCTTTGAGATCCATGATTCCCACTGGTGTTACAGATATAGAAATTGAGGCTAAGGAAGTTTGAGGTCGCATAGCTAGTAAAGAGAGTGCAGCCAAATCCAAATCTCCTGGCTTTGGATAAGTTTAATATAAAACACACAGACACAGGAGCTAAATCAGACGCACTCAGACACACACACACACACACACACACACACACACACACACCATGCTGAAAGCCAAGCCATGCCTAGGAGGCAAGTGTCTCTCTCTCTCTCTCTCTCTCTCTCTCTCTCTCTCTCTCTCACACACACACACACACACACACACACACACACACGCAGCATGCTGAAAGCCCTGCCTAGGAGGCAGATCCCATTAGGAAGTAAGGGCGTCCCGTGATTCTTTGAGCAGCCTGGACAGTGAATTGGGGTGAGGCAAACAGCCTGCGGAAGCCAGGGGTGGGGACGTGGCCAGGACTAGTTTGGTTGGGAGAGACCCTGTGTCCTCCGGAGATCTTCCCCAGGTCTCCAGGCTTTTCCTAGCCAAGGGCAGAAAACACGGCTCCCCTTGGCCCCGCGCGGCCGCCGTAGAGTCCCCGTTGCCATGGCTCCCGGGTTCCCGCCGGACGCACTGAGCTGTGGCTACTAGGCGCGAAGCGAGTCTTGGGGGTCCGGGTCGGGCTTCCCGGACCAGCGAAGCCGACAGGCGCCATGGGCCGGAGTAAGCGACTCCCTCCGCGTTCCCGCCCCCATCCGGCCCTTCCCACCGTCCGCAGATCTTGCGGGTCCCCGCCGCACCGGCCGGTTCCCGGAGGCCCAGGTTTCCCGTCCTCGAAACCCGCGAGGCGGGGAGGGGGCAAAAGGGCGTTGGCCTGGACCGAGGGCCGCGGCCGCGCGCGGGTTCAAGCGTCAGCACCGGGTTGGGGCCCGCGCCGCCCAGCCCAGCCGCGAGGTCCCAGGCAGGTCCCGGTCCCGGGCAGCCATCTGCGCACCGTCCAGGGATAGCATGCCGCAGTGGAGGGCCCCGGAGCCAGGGCATGGGGACAAAGTCTCCACCCGCCTCGGCGACTTTGAGCCAGGGACCTCACCTCTGGGCCACAGCCTCCTCATCTCCGACGTGAAGTGTTATTTTACAGACATAGTAAATGTAAAGTGTTTAAAAACATTGTGAGTCCACAAGGTGATGGGTGAGCAGTTATTTATATGAGCTTGAACCATTTTGATCAACACGTTTTGGACCCCCGCAAATGGCAGTTTAGTTTAGCTCCACCTAATTTATCACACTTGCCACTGTAAAAGTGCTATAAAAATTAATATTCTTTATTCAAGAGACTGTGCTACATGATGCGGTTCCTGCCTTGGAGTTGCTGACAGCCTGGTTGTGGTAGTGGGTGGGGGAGGATCGGAGAAGGTGGAGGGAGGAGTCTGTAAATGTTAGGACCACACTCCAAACAGTCACCAATAGATATTTACTCTCAGAGCGCCATCCGCACCTTTGGTTGGTCCCACCTATTTTATTTGATTTTTCTTCCTAATCAACATAACTTTTTTTTTTCTTTGTGGATTACCCTTTGCTCTTTCTCTGAATCTCACTCACTTTCATTTGTTACATCATTAACTTATCAGACTTACAGCCCCACTCGGAGTCATTCAGTGAGGATACATTGATGAACAAGACAGGTGGTCACCTTCCTAGCAGAAGGCAAACACAGATGTTGTGGTTGTAGCCCGTTTGGAGAGGGGTGCCTGAATCCCCAGAGGGCACACAGGGGCCCTTACTCTCAGGTAGGTTGAGGCTTCTCTCAGGTAGGTTGAGGCTTCTCCCAGGAAAAGGAAACATTGGAGGCTTGTGAAAGTGAGAACAGGGCCTCTTGATGGTCATTGGGGGAGCCCAGGTGAGGGATAGGAAAAACAAACAAACAAAAAAGATGGAGGGCAGAGATAATGGAAGTCCCCAGGAAAAGGCTGGTGGGACTCAAGTCACACAGATTTTGGAGATTATACTGAGAATAGAGAAATCTGCAAGATTTTAAATTCACAAAAGAGTGACAGGGAAACCGAAGGGTTTTGTTCCGGGACATGACTTGGCCATGAAGAAGTTCAAGTAGGAGAGATGGGTCTAAACCCAAATCCTGGCAGCAGGACAAATGACTACTCTTCCTATGAGTACTCACTGTGTGCCAGGCCTGGTTAAGATGTTTTACATGCATTCTCCCAAAGATGCCCTCTGGACCCTGCATTGCCCCACACTGCCCCCTGAGGAATCAGGGCAGATGGGCAGATTTGAGGTGGAGAGGGTGGTCCTCCCTGCTGCTCCCCTTCAATCCCTCTCACACATTGCATCTCCCCCATGCTTCCCTATAAATGGCCTCCATATCATGCTAACACTTCAATTTTTCTAGAAGGGTTGGGATGTATAGCATATTAGTTTTTCCTTGAATTCTTGGTAGTGTGTATCAGTGCAGACAGCTGTGCCTTCTTTGTGGGAAGGTTTTAACTGCATATCTGATTACTTTGGAAGGCAGAGGGTTTGCAGCTCGCCCATGTCTTCCCGAGTGATCTTTGGTAGTTTTTATCTTTTGAGGAATTTACCTATTTAATGTAAGTTCTTGAATTTTTTTGCATAAAATCATTTATATTATTCCTTTATTGTCATCTTAACATCTATACAATAGATATGACATCACTTTTCTCACTCCTGATATTGGCATTTCATATCTTCCTTCCTTCCTTCCTTCCTTCCTTCCTTCCTTCCTTCCTTTCTTTTTTATTGGGTAGAAGTTTACCTAATTTTATTTTCTTAAATCTTAATATTTATTGGCTTTGCCTATTTTTGGCTTTCCATTTTATTGATTGCTGTTATAATCTTTTATTTACTTTCTTCTGCTCATTCTAGATTTAATTTGTTCTTTCTGGTTTCTTAAAGTGAAAGCTTTTATTCATGACTGTTCTCATTTCTTACTACAGGCATTTGGTGCTATAAATTTGTAGCTGTAGTCCATAAATTTTGATATGCTATTTTTTCCACTTTTTCATTCTGTTCAAAATGCTAATTTTCCTTTTGATTTCCTGAAGACTGGTGTTTTTAAAAAATTACTTTCATACATTTTGTCTGGATTTTAAGTTATTTCAGGCTGTGAGGATAAATCCTATCCTATGACTCCATTATATCTGGTGCCTAAATTCTCTGCTACTCTTACAGTTGGTCTGTCCTTGCTCCTACGCTTTTTCTGCCCTCTGGTTCCAAAATGAAAACCTTATCATATGCTACCACTGCAGTCCTCTGGTTTTTACATTTAGCTTTTAATAACCAATTAGCATCTCAGTCTTTCATTACCAATTGTTTGTAGCGTCAATCTGCCCAATACCACTGTCCCTTTGCCTATTGTTTTCCCCATATTTCTCTAATGTCTGCTGTATCACACTAGTGCATTCCCTCCAGCTGCTCTCTCATCTCTTTTCAACACCACTCAGCCTTGATGATTACTAGCTACCTCAGGCTAGGCACTATGTTCCACTGACCATCGGTGTCCATATTGACATTCCTGTAGCAAGGGATCTAACTACAAGTCCCCATCTTAGCGACCATCTGCTTTCATGGATCTCTTCTGGGGTCAATTCTTCCAGGAAGCAGACTTTCAGATGGAGATTAGCATGCAGGAGGTCTGTGCTCTTGGGGAATTTGGACCTTAAGGAAGGCCTCAGCTAACCAACCCCAGGAGCTCTAAACTCAGGATGGGCCTACTGACTTGTCCAAGTTCTGAGGAAGGGCTGGTCTTTTACAGCCACACAACCCTCTCTGAATAGGGCTCTCCTGGAAAAGATGTGACCTTGGTGGACGTGTGCTTCTTTAGCTGGGGTGACTCCGGAAGAAGGTGGACACTCCCAGCATCGAGGGGAATGACTCAGTTTTGAAGGGGAGACTGGGCAGCAGGTTGTATCATCCAAGATAGCCTGGGGTGCCCTCCTCGTTTCTTTTTCTAGTAAACATCTACTCTCATTTCCTGATTTAGTTCAGGTTTCACCCTCTACAACCTTCTTCTGACATCCTTCCTCGGACTCAATAGCACTGCCCACCCTCCCTTCTGTCTAGCACTCTTCCTGGATGCTTCTGTCCTCCCCCATCTCATGTTGTGCTCTTTAATAGCACTCTGTACAGCATAGCTCCCAAAGGTATCACTGGATCAGTAGTATTGCTCCTGATGCTCATGATGACCCTGAGCTAGTAAGAAAAGATAGGGCAAATATGTAATTCTGTTTTTTTTAAAGTTTCCATTTGAAATGGTTAAAAAAGTTTAGATACTACAAAAGGTAAACTTCCTATTTGTAACTCCTTTATTTCTATTTAATATCTATTTCACATGTATATCTGCTAGGTCTTTCATGATGTTTGACAATACTGCACAATATGCTAGACTCATATTGGTTGATTTTATTCTAATCCAATGAAAAATATGGATATTTATAAAACATGATACTTCTCCGAGTCAATCTGACTCTTGTATTTTGTTATTTGAATTTTTCTAAAATAAGAAAGTGAAGGAATGTTTCATATAGTCCCTTTGTACATTCTTTACCATCAAACAGGTATTGTAATACCATCTCTCTTTAAACAGTCTTATGATGGCATACTAATGCTTCCTAAGAATGTTTAAATTCTTAGAGTGATCTCACCTAAGTGTAGTGCTGCATTATGCAGAGTAGGAATTTCTAAAGGTGACAGTGTTCCTTGGAGTTAAAGAATGTTTGGTTTAGATTAGTATGTAAAACTGCAAAATGCTTTCCCATTTAAAAGTGTGAAACGCTATAATCTCCACACACCATGTAGATATTTTTGCAATTTTCTTCTTGGGGACTCTGGTTTTTGCACTGATGTTTGCCATTGCAGGTGAAGTGGTGTTGTGTAACAGCAGTTTCCTGAGTGCTGTAAAACCATATGCCACACAGCACTTTGCTTATTTTCAAAAAGTTCAGAAAAGGGCCATCGGGAGGTTTCCTACCATTGTGGCTCTCCCTTCCTCTATGCTTCTCCATTTTTAAGTCTATCCTAATTGTGTTTACTTGCTGCTGCTGGGCAACCTGCCCTCCTCTCCTTTGTGTGCATAGGAACTAGTTATCCATGCTCTGGGATATCCTTACCCCACCCTTTTAATCTAATAGCGATTTTTTAACATCTTAAATCTCATGATTAGGAGACAGAGATCAACACAACTCTTTTCTGATATCTGCATGCCTCTGAAAGGGATGATTTGATAATTGCATGCAAATGATCAGTTTTATACATATAATAGTAGATGAAAAGAGTTTCTTAAATTTTGAGGATTTAGTAAGAAAATGTGGAATGATATTTGGTACCAGTAGGACTTTGTCAGGCCTGTAAATCTTCATGGTTAAACAGATTGGAAAAGTCTTAAGACTGTAGAGCTAGGGAAGCCTGTGGTTGATACCTTTAGTGGCCCCCAAGAGCCAAGAAGGGTGTGTGGGTGCTCATATGACCATTCAAGGCCAGAGACCAGGTGATGCTTGAGATGCTACCAGAATTGCCCCAAACACATTGGATCCAATCACGGATGGCAGCTCCTTTGGAGTTCAAGTGAGGAAGGTTACAATTTCAATAGGGACACCAAACTTAGGCCTCAACCAGGATATGGGCAAGAATATATGTAAAGGCCCTGTGCCAAGTTATATATAAAACTGCTAAATAAAGAACTTCTTTCTCTCTTGGGAAGTATGCCTTGATAATAACCCTGAAGACTACATTTAATTTAAGCTTCTCAGACTCCTTGGAGTTGGCCTGGGGAGAGCTAGATCTCTGGTCTACTCCTCACTTCTCTTCCCACCCCTGGCTGGATCCAGAGCCCATGCTCATGTATGATGGTGGGTTCTGTAGCTACACACCATTAGGCACTGGAGATCTGATAAATGAATATCTACAACATTTCATTAAGATTGTTCAGATAATATTGGTTGTGCCATTTCAAACCCTTAACCCACATTACATCCTTGAGGAGAGAATTATTTTTGTAGATAAATTACAGATAGAGAATTCATTTTAAATCCATAGTGACTTTATCATATTCTCAAATTGGCTTTGCTCATTTACTCATTATCAGTTGATTAAAACTGTTAGAACTAACTTGGTGTGGAGGGGGTAGTTTTGATACCTTTCAGATTTAGTTTCAGGAAGTTTTGTTTTTTGTGTTTTTGCTTTTTTTTTTTTTCTTCCTTGAATAGAATACTATGTGTAACTTGCCCCATGAACTAGTGGTGGCATTTCCGGGACTGCACAGTATACCTTACAGGGGTCCCAGCAAGCCAGGGCTGGTGGCTGCTACCCTTCAGCCTCCTTTGCAGCCAGAGTCCCTTCCCAGGCCAGGTTTGCAGCCGTCTCTGCTTATCAGTGGAGCCAAAGCTTAGAGCAGCTGGAACATTCCTTACTTATGGTATTTTAATCTCGGTACCTCTACAGTCCCTTTGTCTTTTTTCCTAAATAACTGTCATTGCAGCACCCTCTCTCCTACCACAGAAGTACCTAAGTACACTTAACTGCACACAAATGGTTGATTCATACATGTTTTTATATTTAAAAAGAAGGACAAACTCCACTTTTAAGGATATGGTATAGAGGTGGGGCAGCCAAAGGCGCTGTGGAGAATATGCCTCAGTTAGATGAATCTGTATATTCGGGAAGCTGAGGAATCTCAAATGCCTCTTATTTGCTCATGTTGAAGTGGCACAGCAGAGAACTTGGGAACACCAGGCCTGGCTCTGGACTCCACATTTAAAACCCAGTTGGCACTGACTGCCAAGGCTCAAGCAAGTTACTCAAACTCTGTCCTTTGATTCCTCAACTGACAAATGTAAATAATAATTCTATATATTCACACTTTAATAGATGCAAAGCATTTAGAGTAGTGCCTGGCACCCTGCAACTGACAATGAAGAAGTCTTTATTGTCCCCTAGAATGGGCAAGCAGTATTCTGCTTAAAAAGTGAGGCTTCAACTATATTGATAACATCTTTTTTCCCCCCGGCACTGGCGATTGAACCCAGGGATGCTTTACTATGAGTCACATCCCCAGCCTTTCTCATTTTTTATTTTGAGACAGGGTTTTGCTAAGTTGCTAAGTTTTGAGGCTGGCCTCAAATTTGTGATCTTCCTGTCTCACCCGAGTTGCTGGGGTTACAGATGTGCACCACTGCATCCAGGAGTAACATCTTTAACAGCACTAGGATAGCAGTATTTCTCCATTGTCATTGCCTCTTTGACTTTGGTGCATTTTATAAAGATGATCCATGATTTCATTCCTGGCTCCAGCAGGGGAGCATGGTATGGTCCCCAGCCACTTGGTGCCTATTCTTGATCTTCTAGTCTAAGAAGCCCCAGGCTATACCTCATTCTTATTAGGAAGCGGAAGCAACTTTGCTCCTCCTCTGAGCAGCATTTTATTCCTCCTGAAAGCAAACTAAGTATTGCTTACTTTATAAGATTGCAATCTAAGACTTAATTATTCTTTTCCTTTCCCTTAAGCTGAACTTAAATTAATAAATGTTGGTTAAATAAATGAGTGAATGGCCCCTCCTTATTGAATGATGGGAGATATTCTCCTATTTCCTCCTCAGTTAGCCAGCCTGCCTCTGGGTGGAACTTTTTCTGTCTCAGGTCAGTTAAGGGGTCTCATCTGGTTTGACATGGTGCCACCATGAGAGTCCATAGCAGCACCCTAATAGTTATAAGTTGCCAACTCTGTATGTATTCACACAGTAAAAGATACATAGACCCCACATAGGCCAATGCAAATGTGATATAAGACACCATCACATCTCTTTCTTCCCTCTGACTCACATGATGGCATCATGGAAACTAGGAGGGGACATCAATTTTCTGATCTCATTTCTTTTGAAAATCACTTGGGCCTGGCAAATAGACATTTAACTGCAAAGAAAAATAATGCATTAAGAATATAATAACCCGATGACGGACAATAGGGTTGGAAACGTAGCATGCAACAAATTTTCTTTCAGTCACGGAAGATCTCATCAGGCGGAATGCGGAACACAACGAGTGTGTAATTTTTTCTCTGGAGGAACTCTCCTTGCATCAGCAAGAAATAGAAAAGCTAGAGCATATTGACAAATGGTGCCGGGATTTAAAAATTCTCTATCTTCAAAATAACCTCATTGGAAAAATCGGTAAGTTTCAATACGTTGTTCTAATGATGTTTTAGCATTTTGAATGGGAGAATTCTGGAAAATGCAGTGTTATTCTTAGAGGGAGACAGTAAATGAAAAAGAGCATTAGGGGATTAGGCTAGCCATCTCTTGGGAGAAGTGTTGGAATGTGTCCCTGAACCTTGCCATGTGTAATTGCTCTTGTTGCCTGAAAGACAACAACATGTTGGGAGATGAGTTAAATGTGAGGAACACATTAGTCAACCCGATTCTTTAAAAAGTTTACAAGGGAGGAAGATATAACTCAGACATTTTATGTCACTCTGGGAAACCAAAAGGATTGTGTGGGACTCAATACATCCTACTTAGGTTACCACAGACTGTGATGGTTAATTCTGCTGCATCCTATGTGTGCAAGGCTGCGCTCAGTATCAGACATTGATGGGGTTCTAGTTTAGAATGAAAATGAGAGGTAAATGCAGGGTTAGGGATATGAAAATCAAACACTAGTATTACAACTAATGAAGCTTTTGGAAGAATGTGGATTAGACTTGCAGCCACGTAGGGTTGCTAATACAGCCCCCCAAATAAACTTATCCACCTTGCCACATGCAAGATTGGACAACCACAGATTTCCCTTATCCACGAATGCCTGTGATTTATGGCAAGAGGGTGTTGGGACCATGTGCTTTCTGCTGACAAAAATCCCAGAAGCCAGGAAAGAGTGTGGGACTGAACACGACCAGTTTCTTCTTCCAGTTTACCCATCAGATAAATTGGAACTTCCCCCACTCCCAGCACTCCCACTCTACCCCCATAAGAATTAAGGAGCACAGAGAAGAGAAGCCTCTGGGGTCACGCTAATGGAGGTCTTGCCACTTGGAAACAGGTCGAGTGTTGGCAGCACTGTTGGTGGTAAAAGCAAGCCCAGGCTCTGGCGTCAAGCGTACCTGACTGTGAACCCTGCCTCTGCCACTTATCAGCTGTGTGAAATTAGACAAGTCAGGTAGTGTTACAGTTTTGTCGTCCATAAAACTGGGCTAATAATACCCAAATACACAAGTTGGTGCCAGGCTCACCATGAGCTACGTGCTCTTCTTAGATGACAGCTGCTGTGCTGTTGTCATTTACCCCAGCCAGCCCAGTGAAGGTGGAGCAGAGGAGAAGGTAAAGCAGTTGGAGGAAAAGGGCTGGAACCAGTTGAGGCAGCGAGTACTCACCCCTGCTCTGCACTGGAGCCCAGAGGTCAGCCTTCAAGTTCAACTCTCAGTGTGACATGCAGTGCTTCTCAACAGGGGGCATGCGGCAAAGTCTGGAGACATTTTGGTTTTCAGAGGTGTGTGTGTGTGTGTGTGTGTGTGTGTGTGTGTGTGATGTAGAGGGTGTTACTGACATCTAGGGGGAGAGACCAGGGATACTGCTATCCATCACACCATGCCCAGGGCGGCTCCCCATGAGAATTTCCAGTCCAAGATGTTAGCACTGCTGAGGTCGAGAAACCCTATGGATCATTGAAAACTGGCTCTGGGATTGTAAAAAGCCTAGATTTGCTTCATTTTTGGAAGATTTACTAAAACTATATTTCTTCAGATAATTATTTTCGGCATCTTTTACTTTACCAGAAATTAGAAACTCTGGCATATTGTTCAATTAAAAAGACTCTTACAGAACACCACCAGCTTTTCTGCACGGGCTGTTGAAGAGCGGTCCTAATTGTACACATCTAAAAGAGTTCCCGAATTTTAATCTCCACAGCTGGGTCCATCACAATTACTAATTAGTAGCATAGTATTTCATGCCTTTTCAGAGCTGTGAGAAAGCTTAAATTTTTGCTTCCAAAGTATTCTTAAATTAAACACTCTTTTAAATCCTAATAATGGGGATTTTCAGTGCTGCTCCACCCATAGGCATTTAGGCACTTATTTAGCAAGTGAAACTACTTCTCTGGGATTCAAATCTTGTGCCTTTTGAGGTAGAAGTTTGTGAAACAGTTTCTTTCCTAGAGCTCTGTTCCTGCTGGGAGATGCAGATGGGCTGTGGAGGAAGCTCTACGCAGCACTGATCCAAGTGTGAGCTGAGGACCATCTGGGGTCCCTTTAAAGTGCAGAACCTGTGGGGGCGGCTCTAGTGCCCAACTTCACAACAAGCCTCATAAAGCGGGGGTCTGCAGAGCTTCTTCCACCTGGGAAGGAACGTGTCCCCCTCCAAGTGGATGGCTCTGCTTGTGCAGTGGGTGATAACTGCTTTCACATATTAGGGCTGAAACTCCCTCTTCCCGCTTCCACAGAGGGCCTTGTCATTTTTCCTAATGGAGGCTTTTTTGTTTTGTTTTGTTTTGTTTTTCTTTTCTCCTGACCAACCTGTTCCCTTGGTTCTTGATGAGTTATTTGAAGAAATTCTTCCTAAACAAATCTATGGTTATTCCTATCAGGTGACTTTGCAGGAGTTGGAGGCTATACATATGACAAAGACCAAGGAGGGGAAGGGAATTCTTCTTGGGACAGGTGTTTTCGTGTGGGTGGCTATTTTAACAAGGATGACACTGGGTATTTTTGTTCAGGATGCAGGCTAGACATTCTGTCTATCATAATTCTTGGCACGTAGACACCTCCAAATCTGTTGACTGTGGAATGCTCATCCGTTGCTAGGGAGCTTTTTGTAAACATTAGTATTACTTGAATAATTGCAGAGAGAAACTTAGTTTATCCACAAATCCTCATTTTAAAACATGAGTAGACTGAGACCCCAATTTCTGAAGTGTTACTCTCAGGTCCATGAGAACAAATATATGAGGTTTTATAAATTTTAGATGAGCTATTAATGATGACAAGGGTGATGATTATAAATCATCATGTTGGGTTTTCATAGTAACCCTGAGAAATGGGCAGAAAAGACATTATTTAAGTGAGGGTGTCCCAAACTCACATTCCTTAGCAGGAATTTCATCATTCATGTCATCTTAGAAAGAACTGTTCTTTCAAGGCACAGTGTAATGATTTAGTGCCAAGCTTCGGAGTCAAATTTCCTGGCTGTACCATGTAACCTTCGACAAATGGATTAATTCTCTGTACCTCGGTATTCTCATTTGTAAAAGGGAGACAGCAGTAGATTTCACCTCACGGGGTTATTATGGGGATTAGATAATATATGCAGAGTGCTTATAACATTGAGTGACACATAACAGGCACTTGGCAATACCTGCTGTCTTATTAGCTGTTTTTAAAAGTCCCATTCTACCGTGGTTCCTGGGCTTGTTTCTACTTGTTGTTTTGTCTATATGGGCATTCAGATTTATTAAAAAAGATAGTCTTGTATCAGGATGGTTTTGGCTTTACGTAAAAGAAACCCAATTCAGCTGTGGCTTAACAGTGAGGATATCTAGTATTTTACAGCATGATTTTAATAACCATAATAATAATCCACCGATCTTATCATTTTCATAATAAATGTGTAAAAATGTCTTTTATTTTGAAGGTTGATTACATTTTTGTATATTTCAGAAAATGTTAGCAAACTCAAGAAGCTTGAATATTTGAATTTAGCTTTAAACAACATTGAAAAAATTGAAAATTTGGAAGGTAAGAATTTTCTTTTATTTATGAGTTAAATCAAAATTTTAAATTAGTATTAAAGTGTTACATTTTAAACTAGTATTAAAGAGTATTACATAAACTATAAGTATACTTTTAGCTGTATATCTTATATAAATCTTTGTTAATTCTTGTAAAACTTCAAACAGTAAAGTGTTATATAAATTTCAAACCTGGGAGTGCACGCCCCTTCCTAACCTAGAGCCTCCCCAGGGAGGGCGGGTGCTCTGGTGAGTAGCGGGTGGTTGGCTTCATTTTGCTTTCCCTCACCAGGGTCCTACTACAGTACTGTTTGGGAATTGGTTTCTCCCAGGACATTCCCTTGCTCGCCAGGCATTCGGGAAAGTGGGCTGGCTGCAGATGGACATATCTAACCATCTGTCTGCAGTGGACGCTGGGGGGCTCCTGGCATTTCTCTGTAAGAAGCCTGGCTGCAGTGGGCATCCTTCCGCTTTTCACTCCCTATGCATGGGCACGGGGTTTTTCAAGGATTTTATTTAGAAATGGAATTCCTGGGTTACAATATACATATTTTAGAATATACTGCCAAATTTTTCTCCAGCAAGAGTGTACCAATTTACACTTGTCCCTGGTCATCTGTGCAAGCACTGCTTCTACCCAACTTCTCCGATGCTTTCTGCAAATGATATATTTTTAGGACAAGAATATGATGTTGTCAAATGATGGTTTTATTTTGTGGCTCACTTACTATTATTGAGCTTACCTAGAAACTTCCAGATGTTCGCTGAGTGTCCATATTTCTTCGAGTGTGTATTAGATGATGTTTCATAGCTCCTGCCACCTTTTCTCTGACTTTGTCCTTTTCTCTAATGTGCATACCAGATGTTAATCCATTGTCATGTATGTTACAAATATTTTCTCCTGAACTACTGGTTTTCATTTATTAAAGTTATGATGAGGATCTGTAGAATTCTTACATTTTAATATACAGAGTTATCTTTTCACTTGTGGTGTCTGAGTATAGTATTTCATATTAAGTTCTAATTTTAATGATTTTATTTTTTACAGTTAATCTATACTCCATCTCTAATTCATCATTTCAAAATGAATCAAAATGTATTTTCCCCTTACACTATCTCATAACTGAAATATAGGGACTGTTTTTTAAATTGAGATGATCCACGTGGCATACACTCACCACTTTAAACACACAGTGCAGTGGTTTGTGGTGCATTCATGGGGTGTGCCCTCATCGTCACTGTCCACCTCAGAACATTCTTATCACTCAAAGAGAGGCCATGTTCACGAGCATTCTCTTCCCATTTCTCTCTGCCCCAGGCCCTGGCAACTTCAGATCTACTCTCTCTCCATAGCTTTTCCCTATTCTGAACATTTAATATAAATGAAATCACAAAATAATGTGGTCTTTCATGTCCAGCTTCTTTCATTTAGCTAGTGTTTTCAGGGTTCCTCCATTACCTGGCATGTTCCAGTGCTGCATTTCTGTTTATGGCTAAATAATATTCCATACTATGGATACACCACATTTTGTTTTCCCCTTTCATTAGTTGATGATGATTTGGGTTGCTTCTAATTTGGGCTGTTATGAAAAAGCTCTATGAACATGCATGCACAAGTGTCTATGTAAACATGTGTTTTTTGATTAATTTGATATTTGATTCATTGGGTTTTGGTTGATTTGTTACGTAGGAATGGAATTTTTGGGTCACATTGCTAATTCTATGTTTAACTTTTTGAAGAATGACCAAATTGTTTCCCAAAGTGGTTGCCCTATTTGATATTCACACTAGCAATTTACGAGGGCTCTAATTTATCCATATCCTGGCCAGCACTTGTTATTTTCTGTTTTTATTTTTGTTTTTATAATGGCCCTCCTAATGGCTGTGGAGTGCTCTCTCATTATGGGTCTGTTTTAGTCAGCTTTTTCTCTGCTGCTGAACAAAAGACCTGAAAAGAACAATTAGAGAAGTTTATTTTGGGGCTTACAGTTTCAGAGGTCTGAGTCCTCAGTTGGCTTCATTGCTCTGAGCCTAAGGTGAGGCAGAACGTGCAGTGGAAGAAGAGTGTGGCTGAAGAAAGGGCTCAGGACCTCACGCCAGGAAGCAGGGAGGGACAGCTCCCTGCACCACAGACAAAGGCATTTATTCCCCCAGGACCCTCTCCTCCAGTCACACCCTGCCCCTGCCTGCCTACAGTGTCCCTAGTTGATCTTCATCAGTGGACTAATGTTCTAATTACGCTAAGGCTCTCATAACCCCATCATTTCACCATCTGAACCTCCTTGCATTTTCTCATCCCTGAGCCTTTGGGGGACACCTCCGATCTGAACTATAACAGGTTCTGATTTTCATTTCCCTAATGACTAATTATATTGAGCATTTTATGTGCTTATTGGCCATTCATATATTTTTGGAGAAATAGTTATTCAAAATTCTGGCCCATTTGTAAATTGGGTTGTCTTTTGCTGTTGAATTGTCGACCTTCTTTACCTCGTCTGTATTGTAGACCCTGATCAGATAGGGGACCTGCAGCTGTCGCCCACCATCTGATGGGTTCCTTTTTATTCTCTTGATGGCCCCATTTAAGGCCCCATCACCTTAATGAGGCCCAGGCTTTTCCTTTCTTGAGATGCCTTGGGTTCTCCTGTCAGGATCATATGAACCTGATATAGAAGGAACTTGAAATGTTTCTTCTATTTTTATTTTATTGGCAGAGTTTGTGAAAAATTGGTGTTAATTTGGTGGAATACCCTGGGAAGCCTTCTTGGTCCTAGGTAGAAAGATTTTTTCATTTTTTAGAATTTTCTTTCTTTTTCTCCCTCTTTCTCCCTCCCCTCCCCTCCCTCCTTCCCTCCCTCCCTCCTTCCTTCCTTTCTTTCCCCTTTTGCAGGGCTGGGAATGAAACCCTTGGCCTTGGGCACACTAGGCAAGTTCTCTGTTAAGCCCTGTGTAGGAAGATTTTGATGGCTGATTTAAAGTCTTCACTTGTTATAGACCTGTTCAGGTGTGTTCTGTTTCTTCTTGCGTCTGCTATGATAGTTTATTTCTTTCTAGTATTCATCCATTTCACCTAGGTTATCTCATTTATCAGCATACATTTTTCTATCTATTCTATTCCTTTTTATTTCTGTAAGATCAATAGTAGTGTCCCCTTTTCACTCCTGATTTTCAAGTTTGAGTCTTCTCTCTTTTGTCCTTGGATAGTAAAGCTAGAAGTCTGTCAATTTAGTTGATATTTTCAAAGAATAATCTTTTGACTTTGCTGATTTTCTCTATTGTTTTATATTCTCTATTTTGTTTGTTTCCATAATTTTTATTGTTTCTTTTCCACTTTTCACTTTTATTTTTCTCTTTATTTATTACTTAAGATGGAAGGTTAGGTTATTGATTCAATACTTCTTTTTTCTATGTGGTAATTTACAACTGTGATTTCCTTTTGAGTACTACTTTCCTTATTTACATTAAATTTTGGTATGTTGTGTTTTTAATTAATCTCAAAGTATTTTTGGACTTCATTTGTGACTTCTCTCATCTATTGCTTATTTAGAAGTATTGTTTAATATCCCTATATTTATGAACTTCCCAAATTATTTTCTTTAATTGATTTTTAGTTTCATTCTACTGGGGTCAGAGAATATACCTTCTATGATTTAAATCATCTTAAATTTATTGAGACTTGTTTTATAGCTTAATATTTTGTCTAATTTAGAGGATGTTTCCTGTACATTTTGGATGTACACATATACACACATAGTATACACAATGTATATTATGCTTTCCTTGGGTGGAATATTCTAGTAATATTTGTTAGGTCCAGTCTTTTTTGTTTGTTTGTCTTGTTTTTTGAAAGTTGTATTCTATTTACTTGTTCTATTATTAAAACCAGGTTATTGAGGTCTCTATTATTGTTGAATTATTTTCTCTTTCAGTTCTGTCAGTTTTTGCCTTATGTTATTTGGGTCTCTGCTATTAGAAATGTACACTCTCTTAATTGTTTCATCTTAATGATGAATTGATCTTCTTATCATTATAAAATGTCTTTCATTATTGCTAATAATAATCTTTGACGTAAAGTCTATTTTGTCTGATATTAGTATAACCCCTCCAGCTCTTCTATTTTTTTCTTCTTTTTTGGTTTCTATTTTATTGGTATAATTTTTACATTCTTTAAAATTACAACTATGTGTGTCTTTGAATCTAAAGTGTGTCTCTTTGGCATATGGATGGATCATGTTTTTATTTTTAACCCATCGCATCAATCTTTGCCTTTTAACTGGAGAGTCTTATCCATTTACATTTAATGTAATCAGTGATAAGGTAGAAATTATATCTAAAATATGCTATTTATGTTTTATGTATTCATGTCTGTTTTGTTCCTCTGATTCTGTATTACTGCCTTCATTTTTTAGTTTCTTTATCATATTAATGTCATATTTAGTGTATTTATTCAGTATATTGTTTTAATTTCCTTTTTGTTTCTTTTACTATATTATTTTATCAGTTGTGCTCTGAGAATTACAGTTAACATCTTAATTTATAATGATCTAGTTTACATTCACAGCAACTGAATTTCAATAGTATACAAAACATTGCTTCTATGTAGATGTTTCTCTCTCTCCTCATTTATGCTGTTTTTGTCAGTTACAGCTTTATATATTATGTCTATTAACATAGATTTATAATTATTTCTTCTTGTAGCCATTTTTAAAAATAAATTGGGAGAAAAATTAGAAAGAAAAAATATTTTATTGCCTTTTATATTTACCTATATAATTACCACTATGGAGGGTCCTTTTTTAAAAAGATTTGAATATGAGGATTTAATGTTATTGGGGGAGCATGATACATATGCTTTTAAATTTCAGAGGGAGGAATTACAGACACTTTATAACAATAAATCCAACTCTTTTCCTATATCATCTTTACTTGGGGTGGCTATATCAGTGTGCTGATACTTTCTTCTACCTCTGAAAGGTTCCTTAGGATTTGTTGACCTTGACCCTATCA